TTGACATTATTCTGCTAAAGGTGTCACTCATATTTTCTTCTTTTATAATATGCATGCCATGGACGTGATGGATATTAGTCTAATGCCATACAACAACCAGCATATCATTTATAAGCCTTATCTTGATTTATCCCTGAAATTCTATGTGGTGAAATCATAAGTAAATGGATGACTTTATCAATTATGGCCTAACTAACAATGGTGATGAAATGAGTATTTTGATTGTGAAAATTAAGAGCCTTCACTGTATTTGTGCAATTGCAATGCTTCTCTCTTTTCTATTTGTTACTGTGATAAGGATTTGAAACTGATATTATGTTTTTCCTTCCCTTACTAATTTGTTTCGTACTTGATCATGGATCTTGGTATCTTCTCTGTGATATTAAAATTGTTTATTGTCTTTATGCCTTATAACAACTTCATTTACATTTTCATTGATTGCTTTATGAGTAGATCTTCTTGACCGAGGCTGGAGGAGATCTGGCTGTTTCCTGTACAAGCCTGAGATGGATAAGACATGCTGTCCAGCTTATACCATTCGTCTGAAGGCAAGTGATTTTGTTCATTCCAAAGAGCAACTTCGTGTGCATAGGCGAATGCAAAGGTATTTTAAAAAGTCTTTCTTTTTCATTTTACTGGTTGGATTTTGGTTAAATTGCACACAAAAACTTTTAAACATATTTCAGTTCGGAGTTATGTCCTTTTTCTTTCATGATTTTATCATGTTTGATCTGAAAAATTGATTAGCTTGCATCAATATGCGTCATCCACATCCAAATACGTTTAGTGTTTCCATTGTCCTTCATACACTCGCTGAATTTTTATGTACGCAAATTTTATGAACCTAGCTCTATGCCCACTAGTACTGATAATGGTGTATGCCTAGGTTTCTAGATGGCACATTGGATGCAAAAAAGCCTGAGGAAAGGGACAATCCAAATAGTACTAAGGGTGCATGTAAATGTGGCCATCGTAAAGTTTCAAGCTCCACAAGCACAAAATCCTCATCTGTTAAAAATGAAGAAAACAAGAAAGCGGAAGTGGTTATAAATTATTTGTCTGAACAAATAGACAATGCGGTAAATACATGTATTGGAAGTGGGGAATTTCCTTCCGGTACTCAGTTACCAAAAGCTTCCGTCAAAAAGGTTGTAGGATCCAAAAGGAAACTGCTAACTAAAGGATCTGAAGATCTTTTATTCTCCAGCAACATTGCATTCCAAATTGTGGGTGCAGTGGGACGGGCACAGTCAGCAGAGAAGAATGTGCAGAAGTCAAGAACGTCAGGGTATAATGCAGAAAGAAATGGTCCATCTCCCCAAATAATTGCTGAAAAGTTGTTAGGTTTGATAAATCAACTGCCAGAAACTTTTGGTCTTTCTATCAGGGCTTGCAATGGACATATCAACTTTTATATGGCTGCCAAAGATGCTTCTTCTGATAAAGATGTTTCGGTTATTATTGCCTCTGAAGAATCTATGACAGGTAGCGAAAGCAAAAATTGTTGCTGTAGAAGATCCTCCGAATGCCCTCAATTAAAAAATCGGAGGCTTGAGATACATTTAAAAAGGTCCAGTTTTGATCCGGAAGAGTTTTCATTATATAAACATTATCAAACAAAAGTGCATAATGATACCCCTGATCACCTTACTGAAAGCTCCTACAGGAGGTTTTTGGTTGATACTCCTTTAGTATTTGTTCCACCATCTGGTGATGGCAAAATTCCTCCTTGTGGTTTTGGCTCCTTCCATCAGCAGTATTTGATTGATGGCCAGCTAGTTGCAGTTGGAGTGATAGACATCCTCCCAAAGTGTTTGTCAAGTAAATACTTGTTCTGGGACCCAGATTATGCCTTTCTTTCTCTGGGAAAGTATTCAGCACTGCAAGAAGTAGGTTGGGTGAAAGAGAATCAGGTGCATTGCCGTAGTCTTCAGTTTTATTATCTTGGTTATTACATACACTCCTGCAGCAAGATGAGATACAAAGCTGCATATCGTCCATCAGAGCTTCTCTGTCCTCTTCGCTACCAGTAAGTGCATCTTTGGCCATTCTCCAATGTGTGCTAGGCCATATAATTACTTCTTTCTTACGGTCTAGCACACTGCACTAATTCATCCGAGTTTTATACTTTTGGTAGGATTTTCAAGTCTTTCTTGTTTTTTATGACTTCCAATGGCATAATCATGTGATCTTTTTAGAAAAATGATGTTACTCCTTTTTGTTTGTTTAATTCAAAATATGGTACTAATGCAGAGTCATCAGAGAATATAAAAATTTCCTTATACACCTAAAAACAACATTAAGAATCCATCTTAGGTGTATCAAATTGCTCTTTTGTGTCCAAATGTTTACATTACTTTCAGTGATCATTTAGGTTGCTTAGACCAGCTTGAGGACGTGTAGTTGATTAATTCTCACAGGGAGAGAGGGGGAGAGAGAGAGAGAGAGAGTCTGTGTCTGGTTGGTTACTAGTCACTAAAGGAAGTTAACAAATGAATGGGAGGAGAAAGGGGAACTGACCTGTGATTGCAGGAAAAATATCCTAGCTATGATCCTGGTTTTCGTGAGCTTGATTTTCGTTTGGGCCAATCACCTGATTTCTGGTGGGGGGGGGGGGGAGATTCGTCTTTGATTTCAGTCCTGGAAGTGCATAAATTTGATTTAAGTTTTCAGTAACTATCAATTTCATTTGCTTGTAAATGCAACATCGGAATCTTATAAACTTAAATAATATCTCCAGGTGGATATCATTTGATATTGTGAGGCCTTTGCTAGATAGAAAAAAATATGTTGTCTTGTCAGATTTTGCCACCACACAAAATGGGGATTCATCACCACTTTCTGTCTCAGAAACTATAGGACAGCAGACATGTGTTGATCACAGTGGCCAAGAAGACTTCAACGAGTGTTTTATGGATGATGAAGATGACGAGGAAATGATTGAACCTGAATCTGACAGCTCTGATGATGATTTGGGCCCAGAAACCAGTGACCAAACATCTGGAATAGCTGATGGTGATGTCACCAACATTCTAATTGGGTTGAAAGGTTCACGGTTTAGATACAAGGTATGTATGTAGTTAAAACTTTTTGCACCAATGACCTTGAATCATCCACCCTTTGTAGTGGTGACCGAAACCTTTTCAGTTAGTTGATATCTATGCCAGTAATTCTCAGGAATGGAGAATCTGTTATGGCAAAATAATTTGCTTTTCTAAATGATGATTAGTATTGCCGAAGAGGTGTCTGTTGGTGAAATAATGTGGTAACAATTCTTGGCAGTTTGGGATGTACTCTATGATGGAATCTTAGGTAAAGCATGTTTAGCTTAACTTAGATTTTGTTTGGACCAAATGGATTTTATTCTAGTAATTTATTGAAAATCTACACCTAGTTTTAATTAGGAGGAGGTGGAAATACTTATAAAATGATGAAAATTGACAATGTAGAAAATTTTATGTGAAATATAAATAATACATTCTAAATTCTTTCAAATTCTTTTCAAAGTTTGTGGAGTTTGAAATATATTAATTTCAGTTTTAACTTTGGATTCTCTAACATATCAGATTTCATCATTTTTCAAATGTTTCCGTTCTCTTTAGGTCTGATTCTACATTATGTTTCAAGATGGATTTAACACAGTTTTTATACATGTAGGGAAATTAAACGTTTTTATACATGTAGTAGGGAAATTAAACTTGAAGGGAAACAAGGTTCTTTTGTTCCAAACATAACCTTTAAGAAACTAACTAGTGCATATGACCATACTCCATACTTTTCTACTGGGGTATAGCTTGTGATCAAAGTAGTGAAATCTCAGTTGTTTAAGGTTACTTTTCTATGTAACTTGTAATCTTATTTTGTCACAACATGCTACTTTTTGAAGGATATCCAACGAGCTTTTGGTCGGACTGAAAAGAGTTACATGGAATCTCAGTTACGTAGATACCGGAGGGTTGTTGGTGCTGCGTTATCCGAGAAGATGACTTATTCAATTGGGTAAAAATTTGATCATTTTTGCAGGCCTCACCAAGTTGAAGATGTATGTTCTGCAGTCTGCAATTGCAGCTGAATCTGAGTCTGTTCATCATCTTCTTCAGGTTTCTCTTCTTGGATTGGGATGGGCGGAGTTGTTTTTGTTTAATTCATTTCTAGTGGAAGTATAGATTCTTAATCCAGTTTGATTTTGTTGTTTCTATGTATGTTACTTTTCAGTGGAAGTAGTAAAAGAAAGATTATATTGGTTATATAAAAATACATATTATTTTTTTAAATTCATATCTAAGAAAATGACAGTGGAAATTATTATCAAAATTTGAAATTATTTATATTTATATTTAATAATTGTACAATGTATGTATAGACTTTTCACCAATTAAAATGGCAGGCTTTTTATTGAGTAGAATGAAGCTAGAATATTAAAAAAAAAAAAAAAATACTAGAGAAGAATGAAATAATATTTATAATGAAATTGTGTGTGTACTATAATATTTAGTTCATTAGTATAATTACAATTTTAATAAATGTTTAGTTCAATAAAATTATATGTTTGAACAAAGCTGTAATAAGTGATAAAATACTCTAATTCTTATTATTATTACAATAAATTTTAACATAATTATTTTAGCTAAAAAAAATGTATTATTTTTATTTTTATTTTATATTATTTTAATTCCATTAAATTATTATATTAAGAAAAGCACTGCTAACGTAATATAGAAAAATAAACCCACCCCTTATATTAATTTTTAAAAAATGAAATTTACAAGTTCATATTTTACATTATTTAGATAAAATAAAAAACTCAATTGACTATCTTGTAGTCAACTCTCAGTTACCAATCATCAATTATAATTTGTTTAAATCCAATGAATAAAAAGAGCTTTATTTTTATTTGTATATAAATCGCGAAAGAAATTCATTTATAAACGAATTTTTATTTTAAGATAAATCAAGTCGTTGCCCTCCGAATCCCAAAACTCAAATGGTTCAAACCCAGAGCCAACCATATCAATTCTTCATCAGCCCGCCACGTCAACCACACTTGGCACTCCCCCCCGACTGGCGCCAAAAGTGTAAACCACGGAGTTTTTCCGTCGGCGACAGCCAACCGAAATGAAGCGGTGACGCTGACTCGCTGGTGAAGTTATCATTACCAGTAACGGAAACTTTGGCCGGTGAAAACTGACGTGCTGGCTTCTCTCTTCGATGACTCCCCTTGCATTCACTCGCGAAACTCAGAAGTTGAGCGACAAAACAGAGCTCTCATTAACGACGTCCTGTGGTTCCTTCGACCTGCTTCTCTGGCCGATAGATACACTGGGTTTAGCAGAGTTGAAGGGGAAGGAAGACAGAGGGAGAACAAACGGTGCTGTTGGTCGATTGGAGAAGGAAGAAATTGAAAAAATGGGAAGCGAACCTAATGGCAGCAGTAGCGGTAACAACAGAGGAAAAAGGTTTTGGGTTGACTGTTCTCGATATCGAAGCCCTTGTGGTTATTGTTCCTCGACTGATAAATCCAGTATCTTACGAGGTCTGTTCATTCCAAAAAGATTCCTCAATTTTTATGTTCATTGATGAAACGCACTGATCCTGATTTATCTAACCTTCTAAATTTCTTTTGATTCGTCGATTTTATGGCATTGTTATATTTAGTTAGTGATTTGATCATATGAGTGACAAGAATTTGGCTGAAAAGGTGACATTCTTTTGCTAATTCAATTTCACGTTTAGTTGATCGAAAGTGAGTTGGACTCTGTGAGGTGTTTTAAGGTGATTCTTATCCGTTTTGTTTAATTGGGCAATTCTGTTTTCCTCGGGTTTGATTTCAATGCTGAGAAATTTATGAATGTGTAGCTTTTTTATTCTTCTTGAATTGAAGCAAGTAGAAGTTGGCGTTTGATTTAGTAATGGAATAAGTATTAGATTTTCCAAATGCGTAGTATTGATAGGAAAGGTACGAAAGAAGAGAACACAAAGTGCGAAGATTCATTCAAGTAAACTGACTGAAAAAGTAGAAACTTCATTTATGGATCTGGCTGGTTGTTTGATTTAGTAATGTGAGATGGATTAGGATTTTTCAAATGCATGGTATTGATAGAAAAGATTTAAAAGAAGAGAACACAAAGCACAAAGATGTATGAGAGTAAATTGCTTGAAAAGGAAGAAACTTTATTTATGGGTCTCTCTTTTTCGCCTTCTCGTGCATGATTAAATGCTTTGATTCTTATTCCTTATTTCGGAAGAATATAATTAATAATTTTTCATTTGCTTGTTAGTGCAGGTTTTTCTGCAAACTTCATTACTGTTGATGACTATCAAGGTTGGTCTTTTTGGTCTTTAACTCATGGTTCTCCACTTCTTGCTTGGTTGTTGGTTATATTGCCTTAAAGGAAGATGATATCAAGCTGGAGACTAATATTTTTTGGTTCTAAATTAATAGACAATTCAAATACTGTGCAGTAATCAGCATATGTTTGTAAACACTATATTGATTTCTCCTTAATTTTTACTATATCATGTCAATCAGAAGTAAAATGACGAGATGAAGATCCAGAAGCTCCTATGTCTTTACCTGTATTTAGCATGGGTCAGCTAACAAGGATATTAAAATGAGTACTGGTATTGGAAATTTAGGAGCCTTCATCGAGTTTCTTTAGGTGAAATGTTTCTCTGCTTTCCGTTTGTTTACGTAGTAAGCATTTTGAAGTTGAGCTGTGGTCTTTTCTTTCCCTTATTTTAGTTAAGTACACACCCCTACTTTGGTTATGGTTCTTGATATTCCTAAATTTAAAACTATATGCTGCCTTATCAGTTGTAGTTATTTGTTAGCTTTTTTGTTGATTGTAAAGCTGTAACAGCATTTTAACTCTCACTCTCTCTAGGAAGAGAGAGGGGGGGTAACTTCAGCTATTGCCCAGTGGGTCATTTGTTAAATTTTCACGTGATTGCTTTATGGGTAGATCATCTTGATCGAAATTGGCGGAGATCTGGCTGTTTCATCTACAAACCTGTGATGAAAAGGACATGCTGCCCAGGTTATACAATTCGTCTGAGGGCAAGTGATTTTGTTCTCTCTAAAGAGCAACTACGAGTGCTCAAACGAATGCAGAGGTATGGTTATGTAGCCTTTTTTCTCCTCAATTTTTGGTTAAATGGCATATATATAATTTTTAAACACCTTAAAATGCAAACCACTGCTCTTTCCTGGTTTTGTCATGTTTGAGCTGAATATTCCTACATGTTATCAAGGAGAAAGAAGCCCCTTAGCTAGCATTGTGCATCACTGCCATCTGAACGTATTCGGTGTTACTATTCCCTCTGACACAAGTGGAATTTGTTTGCATGCTCAACTTAGGAGCTCATCCATATTTACATATAACATATTAGGTACTGATAACAGTGCATGCCTAGGTTTTTAGATGGCACTTTGGATGCGAAAAAGCCCATTGACAGAATGGAGGATGCAGACACTTCAAAGGGTACGCAAAACTGTGGCTATCATGAAGTTTCAAGCCCCACAAGCACAAAATCCTTGTCTGTTAAAGATGAACAAAAGGAGAAGGAACAATCAATTATAAATTCTCTCACTGAACAAATAGACAATGTGGTAGGCAAATGCATTGCAAGTGGGGAATTTCCTTTTGGTACTCAGTTGCCCAGAGCTTCTGTCAAAAAAGTTATAGAAGCCAAAAGGAAACTACTAGCTGAGGGATCAGAAGATCTTTCATACTCTAGTAACATCGCCTTTCAAATAGCAGCTGCTTTAAGACGGGCACAAATGGCAGAGAAGGATGTGCAGAGTCTAAAAAATTTAAAACATATTTCAGAAGAAAATGGTCTATCTCCTAAAACAATTGCTGAAAAGTTGGCAAGTTTAATGAATCAACTGGGAGAAATGGTTGGGCTTCATATGAGGGCATGTAATGGACATATCAACTTTTACTCTGCTGCAAGAGATGCTTCATTGGATAAAGATGTTCCAGTTGTTTCTGCATCTGAAGAATCTGTCACGGGCAGCAAGAGCAAAAAGAGAAAAATTTCTGATTGTCCTCAGCTAAAAAGGCAGAAGCTTACAATACGTTTGAAAAGGTCCAGCTTTGATCCAGAAGAGTTTTCATTATATAGACGTTATGAGATAAAAGTGCATGATGAACCTCCAGATTCTGTTACAGAAGACTCATACAGGGAGTTCTTGGTTGATACCCCTTTGGTGTTTGTTCCACCATCTGGTGACGGTAAAGTACCCCCCTGTGGCTTTGGCTCTTTCCATCAGCAATATTTGATTGATGACCAACTAGTTGCAGTTGGTGTAATAGACATCCTCCCAAGATGTCTGTCAAGTAAATACTTTTTCTGGGATCCAGACTATGCCTTTCTTTCTCTTGGAAAGTTTTCAGCACTGAAGGAAATAGAATGGGTGAAAGAGAATCAAGCTCATTGCCCTAGTCTTCAGTTCTATTATCTGGGTTCTTACATACCCTCATGCAGCAAGATGAGATATAAAGCAGCATATCATCCATCGGAGCTTCTCTGTCCTCTGCGTTACCAGTAAGTTCTTGCTTAGTGCGTCCCCGGTGAATGTTAAGTCATGTTATTATCTATTTCATATATGATTTTAATATACTATAACTAATTGAAGTTAGATCTATACTTTTCATCTGGTTTTTCTAGCTTTTTCTATTGTTCTACGTTTTTTAAGAGGGATAATTAGGTGGCTTTAGCCAGCTTGAATGTGTTTGGTTCATTAGTAATCATCATTACAGAAAGTGAAAGGGGAAGAAGCTGGTGATTTCAGTAATTCCTTAGCTCCACAGGCTCGAGTTTCTTTGTTACTCAATATCAAGTGCTACTGAATGATCTTGTCTTTGATATGGATGCTCTTGGAATGTCCTACTTACGTTGAATATATAATTTGTTATTAGTAGTGTTAT